TTATTTTCATTATGATCTTTATTATTTCTATTATGATCTTTATTATTATTATTATTATTGTTATTGTTATTATTATTATTATTATTATTATTATTATTATCATTAATATTATTATTCATTTCATTATTACTATAATTACCATCATCATCATTATTATCATTATTTACCATTACCAATATCATTATTATTTATTATCATTATTATTATCATTATTAATATTATTAATATTATTACTATTATTTATATTATCATTATTATTATCTATATTATCATTATTATCGTTATCATGATTATTTTCATTATCATTATCATTATTATTGTATTTGTTATTATTATTATTGTTATTGTTGTCATTATTATCGTTACTATTATCATTATTATTATTACTATTATTTTAATTATTATTGTTATTATTATCATTATTATTATGATTTATTCTACCATAATTATTATTGCTTCTTCTTCTTCTTTTTCTACTGGCTTGTTCCCTGTGCGGCGTTGCCGGTGCGGATCCATTATATATCTGTGTCCGCATCATGATTAGGTTGGCGCAGTGTTTTATGACCGGATGCCCTTCCTGACGTCAACCCTCCTCCTTTATCCAGGCTTGGGACTGGCACCGAGTTGTGCTGGCTTGCACCCCTCTGTAGCAGGCATTGGCAGGTGGAGACCGTTGCCCCGCGTGGATGCCCTTCCTAACCTCGGACCGTGGCCGGGAATCGAACCCGTGCTATTCTTACTGATATTGTTGACTTGTCTGTGATACTTTTCGTGATAGCTAATGTGCAATCACGTGCTGAAACTCAAACCAGTTGCGCAATAAATTCTGATGATCTTTCAGTATTAATCCTGCAATATAATGATCATCTTCTCCAACAAACTCGTTAACAAACCTATAATGTTGGAAAATGTCCACTATTAAATGGCTTTACGATGACCGTAAATTTTCCGAAGAGTGAGCTGCACAAGGACAGTATCTCCAAAGGTGTACATAACTTCAATATTTCTCGGACAGTAAGATTTTTAAAACTCTTTCCGCCACTACCTACTACTAATAGTGATGCTTTCTTTGTGCAATTTATATATATATATATATATATATATATATATATATATATATATATATATATATATATATATATATATATACATATATATATATATATATATATATATATATATATATATATATATATATACATATATATATATATATATATATATATATATATATATATATATATATACATATACATATATATATATATATATATATATATATATATATATATATATATATATATATATATATATTCTTTTTTGTGCTAAGAAGTCATTCATTTATGTATATATATGCCTATATGAATATCTATCTATCTATATATGTGTGTATGTGTGTTTGTTTGTGTGTTTGTGTGTGTGTTTGTTATGTGTGTGTGTGTGTGTGTGTGTGTGTGTGTGTGTGTGTGTGTGTGTGTGTGTGTGTGTGTGTGTGTGTGTGTGCGCGTGTGTGTATGTGTGTGTGTGTGAAATGGAGGAAAAAATAGAGAAAAAAAAGAGGAAAAGAGAGAGAGAAAGACAGAGAGAGAGAAAGACAGAGAGAGAGAAAGACAGAGAGAGAGAGGAAAGAGACAGAAAGAGAGAGAGTGGAGGGAGAGAAGGGGGGGGGGAGAGAGAGGGGAAGAGAGAGAGAGAGAGAGAGAGAGAGAGAGAGAGAGAGAGAGAGAGAGAGAGGGAGAGAGAGAGAGAGAGAGAGAGAGAGAGAGAGAGAGAGAGAGAGAGAGAGAGAGAGAGAGAGAGAGAGAGAGAGAATAACTACTAGTATGTCAAGCGATAGCATCTCGAGATAATCCAAGATACATACATATATATATATATATATATATATATATATATATATATATATATATATATATATATATATATATATGTGTGTGTATATATATATATGTATATATATATATATATATATATATATATATATATATATATATATATATATATATATATATATATATATATATATATATATCATTCGAACTATCGTGCGGTCGTGTCGTACGATAGTTTTCCCGCATCGAAACGACGGCCTCCGACGACGCGACGAACGAATGTAAACAAATTCAAACAAACAGCGGGAGGAACGTCAGGTTTTGTTGCCCTCGACTTGCAATTTTTCGCTAAAATGGCTTTTGCCACGGAGAAGGTCGACACCGATGTAGTTGAGGGAAATCTGGAGAGCTTGAGAGACGACGTGGCGATCGAGCTGGAGGATCTGGCTCGGGAATTGGGAGAGAAAACGCAGTCGTTAGTTAAGGAACCCAGTTTTCGCGACGACAAAGACTTGGATAATATGCTGAAGAGAAAACTGCTTCTCGAGAGTGAAATTGAAGCTACGATGGATACGAACTTAGCATTCCTCCCGGATGACAAGAAAATGCTGGTCAGACTGGCAAGAGAAGAGGCGGAGTTGACAGCCCTGGACAATGAAAGGGCGCTGAATTTCTATCGGCAAAAGGTACAAAAATCGGCATTGTATTGTGTGTTAGTTGATATATTGTAAACTATGCAAGATATCTAGCCTATTCTCAGTGCTCTAGAAATTTTCCATTGCCTGATTGTCCTCTATATTTATTTCTTGGACGTAAGGTTAACTGTGCAGAATGGACTATTTAAAAAAAAAAAATAGACAGTCTGCCTTGTAAAAGAATGAAATAACACAAACTGCTTTGAAAATGAATATTAGTGGTAATCACACAAATTAATATTAAAAAGTATACACACAGTGGTCAGAGGCTTGCTTCACTGCTGTTCATCAAACCTTAACCATTTAAGGAAGATATAGACCTCTGTGGTAATTTACTGTCAAAGAAGGAATCAGGAGCAGGATCTTTCTTTCCCAAACATATGTGGTGGAGGTTTGTTACCCTTTCAAAAGACCATGGTATGGCTTGAGGCATTTTTACTTTAAGCAGTTACTGAGATATGCATTTATGTCAAGATTTTGTGTGAAATGTAAAATTTGATCATCAAGCAAAAATTGTATTGTATTCATAATAATGCTAAATATATCACCCCGTGAATTTATAAAGAATCTCTCAAATATTAAGAAATACATTGATTTCTATGATGTCATACAAGAGAGGTGTGCCTAAACCTGAAAAGAATATATTGTTGATGCATGTTTGGTGTTAATGCTCAGAGTATATATTAAACTGTATTTAGGTGTATGATACAATTGATCTTAATAACTTTCTCCTTGTATCCATTACAGGTACATATGAATTGGCAAAGACTAATCTATAGAGAAAAAATCCTTCTCATATTTTTATTATAGAAATAATCAGCAATTTATATTCATTTGTAACTATTAAATGATCATCAAATGATTGATTAACTCCTTTCAGATGATTAGAGTGGCCAGTAAAAGGAAGTAGTGGTTCAATATTTATATTTTTATGATACATGCTTTATAAATATATTTTGAATAAGATTAATGGTGTATGTTGCACATTATTGGTATTATTTGTTAAAAAAAAAATATCACACTTTTTTTCTACTGGCTTTGGATAAATATTAACCTTATATTTTCAGCAAACAGAGTTACAAGAAGAAAAGAAAACATATGAAGATATGGTCAACAAAGCAGTTGAAGTTGATAAAAAATTAGATGAATTGCTGAAGGAGAGATCAGAATCAGCCCTCCTAGACATTATGAAGAAGAGGTATGTAAAAGGATAAGGGATAGAGAGAGATGAAGAGGGGGAGAGAGGCAGGCAGGAAGTGATTTAAGCCAAACAAAATAAAGTGAGGAAAGGGTGATAAAGAAGAAAGATTTGAAAAAAAAATTGATGATTGCAGGGATGCTGCATCCATAGTCCTTTTAATAAAAAAATCTGAATCACCTGGTGCAAGCTGTATCTGTGGGCCACGGTGTCATTTGTGTATAAGTTTGAAATCTTACTTAAAAGTAAACATTAAGAAAGTTATGAACTGTTTCCTTTTAGTTCCGTCATCTTTCTTTGTACTAAAACAGGGTCATCATTGCAAATTAAATAGATGTTTTCATTTAATGGCAGTAAATTAATGATCAGTTCCTTAAAGTGATCTGTCTGTAAATCCAAGGAAACAGGTCTTGGCCATAGGGTAAAAATTGAGATATAATAGGGCCTCTGAGAATGAACATAAGCAAGGAAACTACAACTGCCTCCTCTACTACTCTACTGCCTGCTTATAACTTTACTTCATTTTCAGGTATGAAGAAACAGGAATATTGTTTAGAGAGCTTCGGACAGTGCTTCACATGATTTTGACAGAGTTCTACCCAGAAGAGGTGAGGATTCTTATTAGGAAAAATGAATATATATATATATATATATATATATATATATATATATATATATATATATATATATATATATATATATATATATATATATATATATATATATATATATATATATATATGTATATATATATGTATATATATATGATATATATATATGATATATATATATATATATATATATATAATATATGTATATATAATATGTATATATATAATGTATATATATATATGATATATATATATGTATAATATATATGTATATATATATAGTATATATATATATTGTATATATATATATGTATCTATATATATGTATATATATATATGTATATATATATATGTAATATATATATATAATGTATATATATATATATGTTATATATATATGTATATATATATATGTATATATATAATATATTATATATATGTATATAGATATATGTATATATATATATGTATCTATATATGTATATATATATAGTATATATATATATGTATATATTATATGTATATATAATATGTATATATATATATGTAATATATATATGTATATATTATATGTATATATAATATGTATAATATATATGTATATATATATATGTATAATATATGTATATATATATGTATATATTATGTATATATATATGATATATATATGTTATATATATATAATGTATATATATATATATATATATATATATATATGTATATATATATATGTATATATATATATGTATATATATATGTATATATATATGTATATATATATGTATATATATATGTATATATATATGTATATATATATATGTATATATATATGTATATATATATATGTATATATATATGTATATATATATATGTATATATATATGTATATATATATGTATATATATATGTATATATATATGTATATATATATATATGTATATATATATGTATATATATATATGTATATATATATATGTATATATATATATGTATATATATATATATGTATATATATATATGTATATATATATATGTATATATATATATGTATATATATATATGTATATATATATATGTATATATATATATGTATATATATATATGTATATATATATATGTATATATATATATGTATATATATATATGTATATATATATATGTATATATATATATGTATATATATATATGTATATATATATGTATATATATATGTATATATATATATGTATATATATATATGTATATATATATATGTATATATATATATGTATATATATATATGTATATATATATATGTATATATATATGTATATATATATGTATATATATATGTATATATATATATGTATATATATATATGTATATATATATATGTATATATATATGTATATATATATATGTATATATATATGTATATATATATATGTATATATATATATGTATATATATATATGTATATATATATATGTATATATATATATGTATATATATATGTATATATATATGTATATATATATGTATATATATATGTATATATATATGTATATATATATGTATATATATATATATATATGTATATATATAATATATATAATATATATAATATATATAATATATATAATATATATATATATATGATAAAAGTAATGATAAAAAGTTATTAAATTGATGAATCATTTATGTAATGATATATATATGTAATATTATATTATGTAAGTGGGATGAATTTACTTCTTATTTGTTTATTTATTTAGTATCATTTTTATTCATTCTTTTATTTTTCCAGGAAGAGGGATTATCAATGGAAAACCTTCTGGAGGTTCTTGTTACGAAGATGATTGAAGATAGAAATGACCCTTATGTGAATATCCACGAAGGCATGAAGGATTATCACATTGCATTTTTACTTAGGGCAAATCTCATTATGAGGCATAAAAATGATGTCAGTCGTATTAGGTTTGTTGATCCAAACTGATTGCATAGACACATTTGCAGGAAAAGATAAAGCATTTATGTTTAGCTTGTTAATATTCCTGTAAAACAGGTTAATTGTTTTAGAGAATTCAATCCCCCCCCCCCCTCCCTTCTTTTTTATCAAGTCATGGAAGATACAACTTCATGTTATTAATATTCAGCTGCAAGGTTCCTTTTTTGTGTGTGATTGACATGCATTGTATATACAGCTCTGATAACTATTTCATTAAACTTTGAGCTACTAAAAAATATTTTTCATACTGTATGTAGTTTACCTAAAAGGTATACATTGTGAGGTTTATCCTGTTTTGATGAATTGCAATTAATATACTGTATAAATTTTTCAACATTGCATTATCATGTGGTGTACTTTGGTTCAAAAAGCTCTTGACATCATGTTTATTATGTAAGGAAATTATGGTATATTTTAGGCAGGTGTGTAAGGTTATGAGATGATTAAAGGAATTATTTTTTATTTGTCTTTCATTTATAACTTCCAGGGTTTTTTGAAATTGAAACAATTTTTTTTCCCCTCAAAATAAAAGAAAAGAAAGAAATATATATTTATATATAACAAAAATAATAATAATAATATGCAGTACATATGTGCCAAATATGTTTGTTGTTCAGTTTATTTTCCTCATAGAATGGTGCACATTTCACACAATGTTCATATAAACACATGAACATTCTCCTCTCTTACCTAAAGAAACAAATGAAATACAAGAGACATAATACTATTCATTTTATTTTCTTTGTAAATTGGTGGACATTTTGTTTATATATATACATGTAAACATTTTATTCTTCAGGAAATGAAAGATGAGTGGAATAAATGAATCTAGTTATAACAATGTCTATCCATTTCATTCTAACAAATATACATATTTCTTCTATTCAATTAAAGACAATAGATTCCAGAATGAGTACTGCATGAATATGTTTGTACATATTTTACCTAAATATATATTTTCAGCATTTCTTTTCATATAAAATATATAATTACTTAAAAAAAATATTTTCATGCAAATAAAACTTATTACCCTAACAATATATGTAAATTTAGTATAAATCTACCACTAATACTGATTCTTTATACTTATGGCCAGGCAGCATATTTTACAGTTAAGAACTATAAACTGTTAAACAGTACCTTTACAGAAAATACTCAGTATTAACAATATCCTAATACAGAAAAAAAAATTAAAAGCAAATGTTTTGCCTCAAAATAGAGAACTAAATATAACTTCTAAAAGAACAAATAAATTAATCATATAACTGCTCTAACTGTTTCCGCAATGCCAGCTTTAAAACAGACACTTCTTTTCGGGAGTGAGGTGTGAGGGGAGCTAGTGATGGACGTTCACAATTCCCAGCTAATTCGGTAAATGGTGATTTCTCTCCAGGGACGTCATTTGTAGGAGGAAGGAATTCCTCTCTTTCTTCTTTGGCTGACTGAATGGTCTCTTTCTTTGAAACAGGTGTTTGGAGAAAACTGGAAAGAAAGAAGCAATCAACATTTTTTTTTTTTTTTTCCATGCAAACATGCTCTTGTATTAATTATATTATGTATATCCTGTTGACAAGATTCTTATAACTGCTGTTCCTAGAAGCACATTATATGGTGTATGAGAGAGAGAAAAAAAGATAGAAACCTATAGTCTTCCAATAATTACCTTCTTTATTTAATAGTTCTAACAAAATTCTGTCATTGGAGTGTTTAAGTTTAAAGCAATTATTGGAAGACATTACTTACATGAATCCATAAAAACATTTAAAAATGTGAATTATTTGTAGAGAAATGTAATGGTGCCAATAAAAAACAATGGTATATTTAAATTTTTCAGTCATTTCAATATCTAAGGCATTAGCACTCATATACAGGGGGAGGGGGAAAAAAATACAGCTAATACTTCATTCACCTCCTCCACTCATAACTTTGGATAATGTATCCCTCACTTACCTGTTGCTACCTTTCAAGGAATTCCAATGTGACATACTGGCATTTAAGCTGTTACACATTTGAATGCTTGTGTCTGGTGTCTCATACTCTTCTTGCTGTTCATCTATCTCTGGTGCTTCATAAAATATTGAAGTTTCACTGAATTGGACACTCTTGTTGATTTGTGACTGGGAACCCTGTTTTAGTACAACACTGTTAGGGTAATAAATTCTCTAACTTTTTCTATGATGGTCTCACAGATAATGTATGAATGGGAAATGAAGGAATAGATTACACGTGAACTTTACTGAAAATCAATTCCTTTTCTTTCAAAATCCTTTTCTAATGTTTTCAGCTGTTGTATTGAGCTTATGGATTAAGAAATGGGCAGACTATTAAAAACATAGAAACTACTTTAAAAATATATAAAACAAATAAATAAATGAAATAAATAAATCACTTACCATTTCTGAGGAGTTATATTCCTTCTTTGTAGAATGAACAAATGTTTTCTTCTCTTGCATCATAGCTTTTAACCTTTTGAGAGGAGATATTGTGGCAGCAAAACTATCCAGCTGTAAGTAAAAATCCAAAGAGGGATGAGTAAGATGTTTAAAAAATATAAGCATGTATAAGCAGGAGACACTTTTTCTCATTACTTCTTTCACAGAGAACCTAATAACACACTTGAATGAGACTTAAATAGCTAAAACAAATAATATTGCTATACATCAAGCCATATAGCACTATAGTAAAGTACTGACAGGGTAGTAAAAAAGGTAGTGGGGGAAATGGGGGGTATCTATCCATCTGAGGAAGGCAACTAAGTTGTCAAAGGAAAAAGTGAAGGATGCTGTAAAGACGTCTATCAGACTGGGGGCATGGGGAAGAGAGAACAAGTGAGCAAAAGCAGGGATACAGTCTGCAGTAAATTGGTGATGACACAGAATGTGTGGGACTGGGAGAGGGACATTGCCTGGGGAACACAGTGTAAAAGAACCATTATAAAGTAACAAGGGTAGGTATAGGAGAAGTAGGAGAGAACTCTGGGAATGAGACAAGGGAACAGGGGAAAGAGGTGAAGTATCAGGAAGGATATCGGGACAGGAAGGATCCAGGGATTGTCACCTATGACAAAAGGGAGTCACATGAGCATTCAGGAGGGAGCTGAAGGAATAATGGGGAAATAAGGGGGTGATGGTACAGATAGAAAAGGAGAGGATGGGGTGAGATGCAGGAACACCTTGAGAAAAAGGGAGTGAAGCGAAGCAAAGGACAAAGTAGTGAGAGAAAAACCTTGATACCATGCTTCCTGCTAGTTTGAATCTGAGAACTGTACATAGGGCACCTCCAATAAAATACAATAAGGGAGCCACTACAATTGGCACACATGTGTCATTGTGCAGAGCAGTTTGAACAGTCATGGCCTGGTTAGGCACATAGAGGGCAGCGGGCTGTGGAATGACCATGCTTGACAGGGTGGCCAAATGCCAACATTTCTGACATTTATGAGGGAGGGGTCAATATTGTCAGAGAGGGCAGGACTCTCAGCCAATATAAACTTTATGGGGAGATCATGCCTGTGGAAGGTAATATTGGTGTAGAATTTATGATGATGTTGTATCATAGTCAACAAGGCAAGCAAGCCATTCTTGCAATCTGACCATCTCTTGTTATATACAGATGGAAACAGTTCTGGTACCAGTATTAACAGAGGAGTGAAGCTGGGCAGGAATAGGTTTGCCAGCAAGTTTAGTTAGGGTGTATAAAATGCACAAGCTTTGGACTCCTGTGTAACTGTTACAAGGTGTGAATGATCAGCTGGGGAGGGAAAATTTGCCTACTTGTGTTTGGACATATTGATAGGGGACTCAAAATGTTTGTACAGGTTGGAAGTAGTAGAAGGACAAGAACAGGAGGAAGAAGGAGTGGTGTGGAGTGAGGTAGTAATGTGAGGACAATAAGGATGAAAAATAGTAACAAGGGAGGAGGGGACAGAAAATGTAGATTGTGCAGGAGGCAGCGATGGAGTGAAGGATGTTGGAAAAAGAGGAAGGAATGTATTCTGTAGGTTGAGTAATGGCCTGAGTAGATGATTTGGATTGGATCATGTTAACAGTAAGCATCAAGGAGGTAGTAGTGGCAGTGGTCCTAATCCAAATCAAAGAAGAGTCAGGGGTAAGTAAGTCATTTCAGATAGGCTAGCTGACAAAGGGGCAAGTCTCAGTGCCTCTATTAAGGTTACAAAATCAACATACTGTCCTGAAATATGTGGGGAAGAGAAACAGCCTACCCATCAGGGTCCCCATGAAGTGTAAGGGTTAGACGATTAACCAAGGGACTACCATGCCTATGGCTCCCCGACGCTATTCAGGACTGACACAAAGCCAGCCTTTCAATGGGTGAAGTGGACAAAAGAGGGGATTGGAGAAGAGAAGGAAAAGGAAAGGGAGAGATGAAGACTATGCAAATTTGACTGAGCTGAGAGTAGAGGTGGGGGGAATTAGATTCAAAATAAATTAAATCTCTCAAATGCAAATAAGTATAGAAAACATATACTTACAATACCATCTTCCCTCATTCTCTTCTGTCTCATTGCAGTTCTTTCTCTGATTAGCAGTGCTTCCTTAGCAATCTCATCTTGCTCCTTGCTCAGTGTCTCAAGCTCACTCATCAATTTAGGGTCGAGGGATCTTCCATATGTATATTTTATTTGTGTGTTTGTTGAAGCATCACTTTTCACTACTGCAGGGCTTGTTTGTACCTCAACAGTATGGGAACTTGGCTCCGATGAAGTCTGTACAGAAACTTTTAAATCTTTAGTAGACCGTCTACGGATGTTTGGGGTACGACCTTGAACTTTGATCTTTGTATCCCTATGTGTCTGATTTCTCTGCACAGGTCTACCAATAACTGGTCTAACACCTGCCGGATTAACTGCCCTGGAGCTCTTTGGTGCTATTTTATAGGTAGGTGTTTTCAATTTGGCTACTTTTGTAACTGGCTTCTCCTCTTTGACTTTCACAATAGATGGCTGTTTTTCTGGTATATTACAAACATCATTTCTGTCTATTCCTTTGTTCAGAGTATCATTATCAATTCTCTTGCTGACTGTATCATGTTTCACATTTTTCTGCAAAACCAGTTTATCTTCATCCTGTGACCACTCGCTTTCAAAATCTCCTGCACACTTGAACTCATCCTGAACTTCTGAGGTTTCCTCATTCAAACCTATTTTGTCCTGGTTAATTATCTTTTGTTTTGTAGTGGGATTTTGCCTCTTAAGCCCTGCGGTGGAAATCTGCATAAGATTTTTCTTGATAGCAGGTGGTTTGTTTTGCTTCACTTGTTCCTCTGTGCCCTGAAGAATTGATGACCCTGACTGAAAAAAGTATAAATATATAAATCTACTCTCATTTTCTTAAAAAAGATAAAAAAAAAATAAATAAAATAAAATAAAATAAAAGTAAATAAATAAATAAGATTAAATATATCAAAAATTAATAAATAAAATAGAATAAATATAAATAAATAAAATAAAATATAAATAAATACTGGTATATTACTATTACCCCATTTCCACTCTATTAACAACTATGCACAGTCACTTCATTAATCTCTTTTGCATATACACAGATAAATCAGTACCTTAAACAATACACACATTTGTGTACTTGCACACATGCAACACATACATACAAGATGCAAGTACACATATTATGTGGTTTACATAGAATAAAAGACAACTTACAATCATGTTGGTTATATCCATCATATCCAGAGGTTCGGTATTATCTGAACCGTCACCTTCATCTCCACTTTCAAACTGTAGTGTGCGACAGCATTCCTGCAATTAACAATGAAAAATGTTTATTATGGACCACTGAGAATTCTAAAGATGACTGATGACTCATATCACTAAAAGAAAAAAGGTAGTGACAATTATCATCCTCTCTTTCATGACAATGAGAGGATGATAAATATGTTTAAATAACAGATATTGAGAACTGATAACTAAAAACGACAGTTGGATGCAATACTACATTAACAAAATCCAGTAAACTTAAAAATCATTAAAAAGACATTCACCACAGCTCTATGTAGTGCACTTTGGCCAAGTTTTAGTGATTAAAGTCACTTCAAAAAATCAAATGGGTGCTGGTCTATGACCTACATCTTGGCGACTTAATTCACGTTTTTCTAATGGTACCATCAGAAAAAGTAAAAGCTTTCCATGAACAGATGATGTGAAAACAAAAATAACATTTCAATCTGATGGCTCCTGACCCACTGATGATTGTTTTTTAGTGTTCTATCAATTTTCCTGAGTTCCATGATAAATATTAGATTTTCTTAAAAGCATGCTACATTTTAAGAAAAAGAAAAAAGGAACATGATACACAAGAAAGAAATGAAAGGCATGACTTTAAATAAATGCAGTTGGAAAATTTTAAAATCAGCCAAATGAATCTTCTGGACTACAGTTTCCTTGCGTGAGAAACAATATCATTTATACATACCTTGGATAACTGCAAGTTATTATCTCTTTCTTCAACTTGGTTTCCAGAACTTTGGGTTATCCCTTGCTGTTTTCTTTTTGAGGACATAAGATGACCTGCAATGATATCAAAGTTAATGTCTATAATAGAATGACCAAAACCTTTCACACTTTGACTATTGCCATATAAACATGTTAATCAAGACAGCTTTACATCAAAAATATGTATTTAACTCCAGTAGCAACATTTACTGAAGATACATATCCTTGGACAGACTGACTGACTTTTCTAAATTCTAAGGTAAAATTACTGATTACCATGAGTCAGAGCATGACACAAAAAATCCATGTTATAATTCAGTACAATACCTCTCCTTTGAGCAGAAGCCTGGTTCAGCCTTAAAGGAGTCAGTCTCATCCTCGGCGTAGCTTTGGAGTTGGATTTAAGGAGAGCGATCTTCCTCTGCTCCCGTGCTTTTTCTATCAAGTGACGCACTTTCTCAAAAGCATCTTTTTTTCCTGGAAAGTTGAGGAATACAAGCATTAGAATGAGTAAATATTTGTGAACCCTACATTTCTGAAGCCAAGAATCAAATTGAAGATTATATCATTCTTTCCTTTTAAAGCATATAATAGATACTAATAAGTATTGCTCCATTTCACTTAAAAACAAAATATCCATAATTATATCCTGTGGAATTTAAAGTATACCTTCAGAGACTAAACCATTTTTGTTGTTAAAGTGACCTGATGAAAAATAAAAATAATAATATAAATTACCTCCAGAGAGAAATGTTCCTTTTGATGCCCTTTCTGTATTGCTGGAAGCTACGTGTGGAGATGGCACAGGTTTTGAGTTACTTGTAATCAATTTCATATTCTTGCTGAACTGGGAAGTGGCTAGTCTGTTAAAACTCTCTTTCTCTTCCAGTATCCCTGGCTTTTCTTTAAATTCCCTTTCTGTGTGATTTTTGTCAAAATCTAAATATGATGAAGGTTCACGTTTTTCTGAAATATTATCCAATTGCATGAGTCTTGCTGACCTTCTCCTGTTATAAAAATCTTTGGTTTCTATATTTGCCTGTTGAGATGAAAATTCCTCTTGCTTCTGTGGTGACTCTTCAATATTTTGCATTAATTGCTTGGATCTCCTCCTTAAACTTGGTTGGAAAGAACAGGTCAAAGCTGATGTACTTGGTGCAAAAGCATTGTTTTCCAAACCTGCATCTTCATGGGTGCTTAATAGGCTAGACCTTCTTCTGTGACCAAGCCTTCTGAATGGATTATGAAAGTTTTGTTCATCCATGCCATCTTTAAGCATTGGCTCTCCACCTCTCACTGAATTTGCCTCATGGGAGATGTCTGCTTGTACTGATCTTTGCCTTCTGAATGCATTATGAAAACTTTGTTCATCCTTGCCATCAATCAGTAATGGATCACCACCACTCACTGATTTTGACCCATGGGGAATGTCTGCCTGTACTGATCTGCGACGTGCTAAATTGCTCATTGGCATTCTTGGCTGGTAGTTTCCATAGATTTCCTGCCCAGACTCTCTCTGTTCATTTTGTACAGAATTTACCTCCTGCACATTTGTAGGTTGTAACTCCCTCCTTTTTACAGTTTTCTCAATGCTTCTATTTTGTTTTAACATGGGCTGTTGCAATCCAGGACTTGGGTTCTCCTGAAAAATAGAATAAGTTCTAAAGACCTGCAGTACATGTATAATGCATTATTATGCTGTCAAATATATGATAAAATATCTAAGAAGTACCAGGACTACCAAATGGAACACACTAAAATCAAATAATTAATTACAACAACAGTAATTAAAACTATCAAGAAATTACAACTCAAAAATCTTGTTTTCACAAAAGCAGTTTTCTTATACAATCTAAACTTTACTTACCACCCATCTCATAAAATCTTCAACGCTCATGTCATTCTCAGGCCTATGCCTTCGAAGTCTGAAATATACACAATGCAATGTAATATCAGTTACAGACATTTTCTTTTTCTTTTTTCATTTGGGCTGATATGCAGAAGAAAGAACATATAACTATGAAAAGTTTTACACTGACCATCTGATGTTACATAAGAAGCAAACTTCTGCCTTTCAATCATTATTTTTATTACCAACTAAGAAATGTAAATTCCTTCAACTTACGATGTTAACCTCCTCAAGGGTTTGAAACCCGATTGCATGTTCTCTTTTTCTGCCTCCATGGTGAAGAAAACAAGTTTCTTCTCCACAACCCCGTCTTTTATAACCTGGAAATAATACTCTTTATATAAGAACGTCACCAATGACAACATAAGTAATCCCCTGACCTGGGTGACATGAGCATTATGTCTTGAAAACATGAGGTGGAAGAAGAAGAAGAAGAAGAAGAAGAAGAAAAAAAAAAACAATAATAATAATATTAATAATAATAAAAATAATAATATATAATCAGGGTGACAGGAATTACTCTCCATGAGTGCACAAAGCTCTTGGAGGTTGATTAGACTCAGTGGGCATTTAGGAAAGGGCATGTGTGTGTTCAAGTGAGTGAGCAGGCAAACATGTATGGACACGTGTAGTATAAATGTGGGCATACATGTTTGTATAGATATAGGTGAGGATATGAGTGTTGATAAAGATGTGAGAATGGATATGGATGCAAATACAGGTGTGGATATGGATGTATCCAGTTTCAAATACACATTTTGTTTTTTCTTATTATTACTGTATATTCTAAACATTCATCGCCAATGATAAACTGTTACCAGATTACAAAGTGCTGTTACATTTCTCCAAAGCTAAAAAACTTTATTTTTAATAGAAGCAGCATTTTGGAAGAAAAAGATATTGATTTTAAAAATGTATGCATAATCAAATATTAATATCATACATGTAGTTACTTTAAAAATTATTATATACCAATGAACATGAAATTTTAAAGATTCTTGCTATCCACACCATCACACTAGACCAAAATCTTGGTAATTAACCAGATTAAGTTCATATCAAGAGATGTATTTCACACTCCAGCAAAGGCTAACAAACCTCCTCGTAAATATTCTTTCAGTATACATCTTGGACTGGTTCCTTACTTGACAAAAATTCCCAGATAATTCTACAAGCTGTGTCTGTGTCACATGCACAACACCTGCAACTTTAACAATGGCTTCTGCAATTTTAAGGGTTGCTTTGCACAGTATGGCTCTCAGTATGGCAATTGAGCACACTCCAGAAAAGTGCTAAAGATTATGACGTTAACCACCATTCAGTGTGCAGGGTGTTGAAATGGGATTGGTTTCACCATTCCCACTGGTCAGTGTGTGGTCTATTGGGCATGGCACTCATGACATACAGACAGACAAGAGTGAAACATGCCTATGCATTTTTGTGTTTTTGCTTTATGGATGACATTGTAATAAATAATGTACTACCATAGTTCATTATTAAAGTAACAACTGTAGACTGCTATGTGTGCATGCAGACAGTATATTAACTTACACAGTTATACAAGCAATGTTTATGACAACATCAATAATAACCCTTTCTTTATGTATTCAATATATTATTTGTGTGATTATGTGTGTATGGGGTATAGCAGAGACCTATATTGGTGGTCACCCTTGTATTTAGTCTTTACATCAGTACACTCTGAAACTAATATTGTAAACAAGCCCTGATACTCCAGCAAAAGCTAACATTTTTCCATAACCTAATTTCTAGCAAGACTGAGCATGTCAACTTCCCTAGGTCCCTGAGAGGTGGTGCACCTAGCAGATGATGTATACATTGTTTACGAACACAGCTAATGTAGATTGCCAAGGAATATTTTTTTGGTATGGATTCTGCCATATGAACTTTTAATATCAACTGAAACCTAGTGGGTACTTCTTGACTTCTTTACTACATATCCGGCTAAGCAAAGGATGTTGAATGTGAAGAAACATGAGAGCATGATTCCAAACTTGTAAGCCAAGCTGCTGGATTATTAATGGAAAATATGATATATAAAGATAAAAAGATGACTGTTATAAATACTAGCATAAATGAAAGCCATAGTAAAGGTGTTTAAACACAAAATTTAAAACACCAAAAGCCTGTGTGGTTCAATGTTTACATTTGAGCTTCACCATAGTGCTATAGACCATTCTGTTTGAGCATCTTCTTTGTAGCGCACAAAAGTATTCCGTATTTTCCAATGGAATACAAGGCAGGACATGTGTGGAAAGTGTGTTATGCTTTGCTGTATAAACAAGATGCAGAGGCTGTGGTAGTCACTTAATATTTAAAACTTCCCATTCCAAATCACAGTAAGTTTCAAGTGGAGAAAAGTGATGCTCTGAAAACCACTACAGATGTTGCATACATTTACCTTTTGTTATATCTAATGATGTTTTATCTGTCCTTATAATAACTCTTGGGCTTACATTCGATTTTCATCACCTATACAAAAATCCTATTTTTGATAATTAAAACACAAATCTCTTTGATTTTAATTTACTACATATAATCCGTAGTTAGTTTAACAAGTCATACCCTACTAACGCAGACAGAGATGATGATAAGTGATACAGGCTGAGCTACGAGCTATATGTAGAGCACGTGAAATTTCAACCACGACTGAAATCCGGAAATTTTAAGCTACAGTAAGAGAATTTGGGAGAGAACAAGAAGAGAATTTGTACCTGGAGCGCTCGGAACTCCGTCTCGCTCGCCCAGATGAGATGTATTTTCGAAAACAAGGACTCATTCCATATCTCTACATGCAAAATAATCAAGTATTGATAATCAAGTGTTTTTTATATAAGATGTAAAGTAAACTCATCAAGACCAGAGAGTGAGAGACAAACAAACACAAGAAACGGAGCCGACGTCTTCCAAAGCTCGCGGGTCGTTTCGTCCTCAAAGCGAAAGACGTAAACAAATAACGGACAAGGGGCGAGCATCTTTATAAATTTGTATTGGTACCATTATTCATCTTTCCATTAGTTTTTTTTCTAGGTCCTATCTTGCTTATGGTGTATTTGTTTATTTGTAATTATGATCTCTATATAGTGTTTAGATTTTAAGATAAGATTTACCCACAGTAGGTGAAAATAGAAAGTAGGTCTACCCTTCGATCAATTCAAAGAGGAGACTGTCAATTAAGTGATGGTTGGCATTTAATTACTTGACATTATATTAAGAACGAAGAAGCTTAATGACTATCAAACTGGAACATTTTATTAAAGTCTCATGGACCTAATTCACAATATGCAATAACCCGCTTGTATAACCTTACGTATTAGCAATATTCACTTGTTCATTTCTTTACTTTTACATAAAAAAAACTCGCTGTTCTTGCTCATCATCAAATTTAAGGTTGAATGCCATATTAACTTCCATTATTGCTAATGCCTTGGTTGGTTAAGGGAAGAGAAAGAAGGGGGGGGGGGGATATATGCGTAATACTCCTACATGGTTAAAATGCATGATGAAAACTCTCTCATTTAATTCTAGTTATGGAGTGAATATCTTTTTTATCCATAATAATTCCCTGATAAGTTTTAATCAAAAAGCCAATCAATTTTTTTTTTTTAAACATCCCAATATGATTACATCCATTGTTATAATTCAAGGTACGAAAACAAACTTCAAGTGTTATATTTTATTTCAATATATCACACACAGCATAAAAAAATTATGGATGGAATACATGTTGTACTTATTACCTATTCGTTTCTCTTGATCAAAGGAGGAACATGCAGAATGAGAAGAAACTGATCATCTATAAGGTTGAGAAGAGACAGATGGAGAACGAGGGGGAGGAAGGGAAGGAGGGGGACAGGGAGAGGGAGAGGGGGAGAGGAAAGGGGAAGGGAGAGGGAAGGGGAGGGGAAGGGAGGGGGAGAGGAGAGGAAGGGAGGGGAGGGGAGAGGAGAGGAGGGGAGGGGAGAGGAGAGGAGAGGAGAGGGAGGGAGGGAGGGAGGGAGGGAGGGGAGAGAGAGAGAGAGAGAGAGAGAGAGAGAGAGAGAGAGAGGGAGGGAGGGAGGGAGGGAGGGAGAGAGGGAGAGAGGGAGAGAGGGAGAGAGGGAGAGAGGGAGAGAGGGAGAGAGGGAGAGAGGGAGAGAGGGAGAGAGGGAGAGAGGGAGAGAGGGAGAGAGGGAGAGAGAGAGAGGAGAGAGAGAGAGAGAGAGAGAGAGAGAGAGAGAGAGAGAGAGAGAGAGAGAGAGAGAGAGAGAGAGAGGGAGGGAGGGAGAGGGAGAGAGGGAGAGAGGGAGAGAGGGAGAGAGGGAGAGAAGGAGAGAAGGAGAGAAGGAGAGGAGAGGAGAGGAGAGGAGAGAGAGAGAGAGAGAGAGAGAAGGAGAGAGAGAGAGAGAGAGAGAGAGAGAGAGAGAGAGAGAGAGAGAGAGAGAGAGAGAGAGAGAGAGAGAGAGAGAGAGAGAGAGAGAGAGAGAGAGAAAATAAATAATATAATTAGATTAAGAACTTCTTGCAGATTGACTTCCACATGCTCTGAGTTAGTCTTGAATGCCTCTAACCACCATTTCATTACATATATCTGTAAGCTTTCCCTATCATCAAAAATAATATTGAGAAATATGTGGAACATGTAGTCAAATGCATTCTGAACATAAATAATTAATAAAACTGAATAAGACACAGTCCAGTACATCAAGTATTTATATCAAGATTACTACTTTATGATACACCAAAACATTAAAAGGAATATTACAAATACTGTGATATAAAATAATAACGTGAATACAAACATTATTATATTACTCTCTTACAGTATTATGTCTATTTTTCTAGTATGGAAAACTGAAAATCAAAAGTGTAGGATCAAAATATTTGAAAACATAACGTGGAATACATATAAATATACATGATATAATAAATTGTAACAGTGATATAAAAGGTACCAATCTATTGAAAAAGCCGATAAAAATTGAATATCAAAAGTGAATATTTAAAATTTCCTGTAATAACTGTGGTATCCCCATAGCCTAAAGGTACACAGTGGAATATTGTGCTTGGCTATATACCTTATTCCATTCCCAAAGACTATTTAAAACTTTATGACTCAGATTCATTATGAACATTAGCCATTCGTATCATGCTTTTACTTTTCACTTGGAAAAAAAAAATGTTTCATAATATCTTACAACTGTCAAATTAAATGAGTAAATGCACATTAATTTTGAAATTGGTTAACCATGAATCCCATAAAAAGATTAAATGAGAAAAAACAATTCAATGCTAATTCTTGAAAGAATCAGCAAAATGTAGATATCTCTCCTACATAGTCTCATCTCTACTGCCAAAGAACATGGCACTCTGGACATCAACTAACAATGAAATTTTAGAGTGCTTTAGAGTTACAATCAACATATTTTCTATTTGTTATGATGCCTTTCTTTTTATCTTAAGTACTGGCACCACTTTTTTTATGAATAACATAACTATAGTAGTTCACTCATGTTAACAATCACTAGATTCCATATATTCAAAGTAATATACATGAAGCACAGTCAGTATGAATTTTGCAAACTTGCAATGTGAATAATCTATTCTTTATATCTTAAAAAAAACTGTCCAAAATACATGCTAGATAACAATGATGAAGACAATAATAATAAACCATAATGCTGAAATTGAGTTGACAGCTTTCCAGTAAATCAAAAGATATATAGACAATGAACTTACTTATTCATTAAACTTATTGCATGCTTCTTAATCTCTCCATGATCTTAAGCATCAGCCTTGCTAAACTCCAAAACATAACAAAGCCAATGGCACATTCCACATTCCATTTAGTATACTGTGATGTTGTGAACTACTTTACAGTGATTTTCTATAATGGTGGACAAATAAGAATTCTCTTACCCATACAGTCGAACCTTGTTTTGACTTTTACCTCAGTTAATTTTATGCACTTTTATTTACAAAAAAAGGGGGATAATTTTGCCTATTTATTTCTATGCGGTGATACACACACACATTTACTTAAACACTTTGCCTAATCGTTTATACTGGACAGAGATTCAGTGACCTCATCCAGGCTCCTCAGCTGGAGGAGGATAACTTTCTGACATTCTTACGTTTAACACATATGTTCTCTCCGAAGCACAAGACCAAAGAAGATTTCAGTGCTTCAATATATACAAGAAAATATAGAAATTATCACAAAACTCAATGTACTGCAATAAATAAACATAATGTCAGTACATGAGTCATTTGTCACAACGAGCTATGTATTATTCAACTTCATAAGCACTTAATTCCCACACAGTTTGTAGTTAACTGGATATACAGTATCCTGAGAACCTTTTGTGAATGAGTTAAAATTAGAGCAATGGATAAAAAAAAATCTCCTTGTTCTGATGCCCTTTAATCAAGAGCAGTGTTTCTTCACTCCCTCACTTCACTGATGAAAATATTGCAAGCAACTTCCATATACATAAAAGGTTCACATATTTTGTCAATACTAACACGTGAACTCTATATCACAACTTGCTTTCTAATTATGATCTAAATGCTAAAGGTTCACACTAATGGATGTCATAAATAAGATATTAAGGCTTTACAAATTTTCCATATTCAAATATAAATGGCTCTTTTGATAGCTAATCATTCTCTCCAGAATACCTGGGCATTTAGCCTTTTGGTAAAGCATTCTTATGTGAAGTCCTCTCTTATTTCTGATTAGAATTAATTAATCTTCTATTTCGGCTGCCGTCAATGATGGGAGTACCTGCAATGAACAAAGAGTTTAATTTTCAATAAATATGGTAGAGTAAAATGTAAAATCATTTCTGCATTTAACAGAATTATCTCACTAATGCATTACACCAGTACAAAGATATATCATGCCAATAAATACACACATCATCCAAGTGAGCACAAAGTGTTTCATTGGTGCTTTGACATTTTTCATATATCAGTATCTTTTTACAATAGTAACTTTATCAAATGGGAGGCATTGTAAATAACTGACATTATTATCAACTTTAATATTTATAAAAGCTATTTAACTACCTCAATCTACCTTGAAGCTTAGACCAAACTATTTTTTTTTCTTTTTCTTTTTCTTTCATAAATACAAATGTTAAAAAAGTGAAGCATAACATGCTCTTCTATCCCCTACTCTTTCTCTCTCTTTCTCTCTCTCCCTATCTCTTTCTCTCTCTCTCTCTCCCTTTCTCTTTCTCTCTCTCTCTCTCCCTTTCTCTTTCTCTCTCTTTCTCTCCCCTTTCTTTCTCTCTCTCACACCCTGTCTCTCTCCCTTTTCATC